GGCCAGCGGGGGTCACCGCAGCCCTGTCTAGGAACTCATTTCCCAGACTGCGGGAGGGAGGCGCAGACAGAGAAGTTGGCAGGCAGCCAAGGGTGCAAAAAAACCAGGAAACAGACGTGTGGCTGGTAAAGGAAAGAACCAGAGAGATGAAAGAGGAGAGTCAGGGCATGACCTTCCCGTAGCATTAACCCAGCCCAGCAAGGAGCCTCCCCCAGGCACATGCCACACGGTGACGCGCCCAGTCAGGTGGGTAAGTCATCGTCCAGCTGAAGGTTTAAACTGAGAAAAAAAGTTAGTTGGGCCCTTGCTTCTGAAATGTCCTGCGATTCTGAGAAGCTGGTAACTGAATTCCCCTTCCCCTAGGAAAGGGGACGACCCCTCCAGGTCATAGATCAGGATATGGATGGTAGGAAAGACTGAGAAGGCAAAGACCAGGGAGAACTACAGCTGTCCCCCGGTACCTTCTCGGGAGGGTGTCACCAGCTTTGGGGTGGAACCTGGGCTGGCCAGGCCAGGGAAGCCCAGAGTGGAGTGAGCTGGGGTTTGTCGCTGAGATAAGGCAGAGTGGCCTGGGGACCACCACCAGGCAGGGCCTGTTACATCATCTTCATTGCACTCTAACTAAGGAGGAGTCCTGCAGGAATCCACCCCAGAGACAGCAATCGGGCATGGCCACTTGCATGGACGCCACCGAGAAATGGATCAGCCGCCTGGTAATGCCAGGGAGGAGTCGATTTGGCAGGGAGAGGGTTAATACGCTGGTGGAAGGTTTCCAGCAGGTACCTGTTTGGGACCTTATGCTTCACAACAGAAGAAAATCTCCCACCTGGTCTGGGCCGGCAGGGCTCACCCTGACCCAGCTGCCTGTTTGGGGCAGTGACTCTGGCTGGCCAAGGGCCCTAGAGTTCACCCGCTGAACGCAGGAATGGGGTGGGTGCCGCCCATCACTGCTATGTTAGTGGAGCTAGTGAGATCAAAGCTGGCTCAGAGATGCCCCCAGGTGTCACAGACACGGCTGTGCCAGCGCCGGATCTGAACGCCTCATTGGGTCCTATCACGTTCTTCCTAAACTTCACACAGTGATAGATCCCGGCATCCTCGGAGCGGATATCACTGATGCGGATGGTGAAGTCTGTGTCAGAGCCATTCACAGCCCGCGTCACCCGGAGGAATGATCCTCTCTCTGCATAAACGAGCTGGCGGCCACTGCCCGAGCCCTTGAACCACTTTGTGGGTCCCACTGGAGCGACCCCAGTCAGAGAGCAGATCAGAGTGAGAGTCTCTCCCGCTGACACCGACACGGCGCCCTGGGGCTGCAGCAGCTGGAACTCCTGGGCCCCGGCCCCTGGAAGGAGAGAACAGGCCGGGCTGGGGGAGGCTGGTTGACAAGCCCCAGTCCCGCAGCAGCAGGGGGCTGAGTCCCACGCCTGACACCAGTGTGTGGATCCTGCTCCCAGCCCTGCCCAGAGCCGGGCCCTGCCCGGGGTGGGGCTTTGGCTGGCTAGGGAGTAACTTTGTGTCGTTCCACAGCGACCCCTGTAGGCTGCCCCGGAGCCGCATTTCCAGAGCTCCACCCCGGCTCCCGGGAGCAGGCAGGGACCAGGAAGTTGTTGTGTTGAGCGTGAGCAGGGGAGCTGGGCAGGGACAGAACCCAGGGCCAGCGCAACCCATTAGGCGACCTAGGCGGTCGCTTAGGGTGCTACAATTTGGGGGCGGCGACCGCGGCAGCATTTCACGGCAGGACCTTCCGCTGCCTAGGGCGGCAGAAAAGCTGGCGGCGCTCCTGACAGAACCTCATGGGGACGAGCAGGGACAAGGGCCCTGAGCCCCAGTTGCTGCACTGCTCCCTCCAGCCACACAAACCTCGGGGGTAAACTAGAGGCAGGCCGGCTTCATAGCTTCCCGAGCCAAGCCCTTCGCACCCACCAGGGGCTCCTGGCATCCCTCCATTCCCGCCTGTGCACCACCTGCCTCCCCTTCCACCTCAGGGCCTCCCTGCAACTCCCCCACTCCCTGCCTCATGACGGGCTCTAAGTGTCCCCTCATTCCACCCTCCCCCACACCAGGGTCTCCCTTTCCTCAGGGGCTCTGTGTGCCCCTCATTCCCCCTTCCTCCCTCTGCCATACGCCAGTGGCTCTGCGTGCCCCCTGCCCATCTCCCCCTGTACCAGGGTCCCCCATTCTCCCCTTCCACCAAGCCCTGCCATTTTCCTCACTGTTATTTCTTTTCTTTCTGTCTGGGAGAGAAGTCATGGAGGGCGTCAGCATGTTACACTGCCCTGGGATGTCGGGCAGAGCTGAGCTGTTAATCTGGAAGGTGTTTATGGGCTGTCATCACCCTGTTCTTCGATCTCTACTCTAACCAATTACTGACCAAGCTGAAGCCAGTGTGCGAGCTAAGCAGAGACCAGGGGTTCCATGTGTCCCCCATTTCCGCCTTCTGCTTTTCCAGTCTTCACCAAAATCAGTTTTGTTTGGCACCTGTAACCGTCCCTGAAATGTTGGAATTGATAAGAGTTCGAAAGTTCCTGTGTTCCGTCCAGCCCGAGAGAGGAGTGGGGTGTAGGGCCTTGCTTCGCTCAGCGATAAATCACCAGCTCACCGTACGTTACGGGGGAACCACCAGCGACAAGGGCTGCTTGGGTGTCACCTACTTCCCATAAAGGGAGAGACACTTTGCTCCTCAGACAACCCCACTCCAACACGGCAGCCCCGCTGGGCTGGCAGAGCTCGGTAGCAACATGCTGAGTAAACGAGACTCCCACAGACTTGGCCATTGTAAACTCCCCCATGGAGTGAGAGGTGTCAGGGGAAGAGAAGGGAATGAAAGGGTAGGAACCAATGACCAGTTCTCAGCCTGGACAGGGGATGGGACCCAGGACTGTATTAGGCTGGATGATCTTTCAGGTATTTATTAAGTGTCCACAGGAGCAGGTGTACAGCCAGGTGAGAACTGGAACCCACCGGATTGATCAAACTGGGGTGGGGGGGACTGTGGGGTCAGGAGGAGCAGCGCATGCTCATGGGCTCTGACCCTGTTGTAATTTCTCAGGACAAAGGTCTAGGCAGCTCTGGGGGCAGCTCAGCGAAGACAATTTCTCAGTAGACGTGAGCTGCAGAAAGAATGGAGTGAGACTGAAGAATCTGTGGAAATGGGGCTGGACGATAAGGTCTCAGCCCCGCTCCTGGATCCAAACAGGATCTCTGCACACGCACAGAACCCCTTCCACTGCGATGGGACGGAGGCGGAGAACGGCTCGCCAGGACCAAGCTGGTCACCAGCTGGGCTCAGGAAGAAGTTTCCTTTTATGGTATAAAATAATACAGGGGCTTAGATCGTCCACTGACGCATCTGGAATTTATCACTGTTTCAAGGAGCAGGAAAGCAGGCTAGACGGTTTGTGCTCACATGGGCAATACATGTGCCACTTACCGGGGATTTCCAGGAGAAGCAGCAGCACCAGGCATGGCCGAGACAATCCAGACGTATGGGTCAAGAAAGCCATCACGATGGCAGTGGGGAGACCCTTAAACACCGCAGCCTTTGCCAGCTCCCCATTGGCTCAAGAGATACTGAGAATTCAGAGTTAAGGATCAGACCATCCCCTGATGCAGAAGGAAGTGGATTGTGTTAGTGACATTTCCTGTTTTGAATCTGTGCAGGTGAAACTGTTTTTTCCCTACTATTAATTTTACTTCTCACAGCAAAGCGGCTAGTGACCCATGTTCTCCCATGAAGCCTCATGTAGTCCAGCCCTCTGACCCCCATGAAATAAAGCACCCATGCTAATGCTGCTGGGGTATTTAGGGGGGGAGAGAGGGCCTTGGCAGAATGCTACTCTTTGGGAAGTCAAGGAAATCTCCATCCCGCCCCCCTCAAAATCAAACCAGAGAATTTACCAGCCGTGGTATGTTCAGAAACACTGTCGGAAGAGATTAAAAGCCACTCCCTGAGACCCCTGTTCTGGAGCTATTCTCTGAACAGGGCTGTTAATCTGACAAGCCCCTTCGATGCTCATCTGAGTGGGCGGAAGTCACTTGGCCACTCACAGCACCTGAACCATGTTAATGGGCCAAGGAAGTGGTTGGATCTGGATTAGGTCTAGGCTGGGGTTGGGTTTGATGTTGGAGATCTTATGAGATCAGCTTTTCTCTGGAGAGCCAAACCTGAGCCATGAAACGGGCTTTTCCGGTTTTGGATCCAATGCAGAACTCACACTGGATCAGCGAGCCAGGAAGGTCTTGTGCTTACAGCACAGGTGAGCTGGGTTCTTTCACCATATCTGCCACGGAGTCACCTCATGGGACCTTAGGCAAATCGCTTACTAACTCTGTGCTTCTGTCTCCAGCAGTGCAGGGGGGATAACAGCACCTTCCTTTTCCTGCCCCTTGTCCATCTCGGCTTCTTAGACGGCACGTTCTGTGGGGCAGAGACCACCAATTACCAGTGCCTAGCACAATGGGGCCCTGACGCTGCTGTGTCCTCTAGCACCTGTAATAAGTAAATGGATGGAGTGATGAACATGAGCCCCTTGCCTTGAAGGGGTTTGGATTTGAGATCCCACTTGGGGTCCATTGCTAGTGTTCAAACGGAATGAACATTCCCGCCCCGTGTTTTAACTCTTCGCTAGTTTGGGCACCGCCAGGTCATTTCCTGAGCAATGACTCAAGCAGAGGGCAGGCACTGAACGTGTTAATTACGCACGGGCCAGTTGTTTCTGTTTCCTGTTGTGACTTCCCATTTTCCTTTGCCAGCTGAGCGGAGTGAGCTCAGACCAGTGTTGTTAAACCTACAGGGCTGACGGGTCTCCAACCTACGGCCCTGCAAATGGCTTTCCGCACGTCGGCGCAGCTTCAGCTGCTGAGCTTGCTGCTGGGTCTCTCTTCCTTGGACAAGTCAGGTGAGTACAAAGCGGGCAAGCGATGGGAGCTTTGCAATACGGGCTAACGAACAGAGAAAGCAATCAGCCAGTTAGAGATCTCCGTGCAGGAGGAAGACAGAGACAGATATCTATTTATGAGAGAGAGAGAGAGAGAGAGAGAGAGAGAGAGAGAGAGAGAGAGAGAGAGAGAGAGTAGTAAGTAAGTAACGTAA